AAAGATGCTCCTTATCGATAGGTACTGAAGCAAGTCGGAAGCCTTTTGTTGAAAATGTTGCGAACCTCGCAAAAATAGACACTAAGCGTGGTATATATATAAAGACGGCATAAAGTTGTGAATAAAACTGCGGACTTATACCTTTTTTTTTCCAAAACGTCGTATATATCTTATGCGGTAATTGCACTAAGCGCATAAAATGAGCGCATAATGTGGAAGTATGTTTCCATATAACACCCAGGCTCTCCTTTCAGTTTTTTACCCATCTCCCTCGTTCAAAAATTCATAAGTTACGCAGATGTACGCTAAAGACCATTCCAAGGCTCTGAAGTGAAAACTGGTCTGTCAGTCTACTTTTACGTCTTCCTGTAGTCCTGTCTCCTTTTCTTCTGGTGGCATGTGTGCAGGCTGTTTCAGGGACCCCGTAATCCTGTATTCTGTTTGCACATAGTCTCCAATATAAATGATAATTTTGTATATTCCGAACTAGTTTTCGTCTTTTAAAGCGTTATTTTAAAATTGCTCCCAGTAGCGTTATAACAAGTGTTGAGTTCGCAATTTCTGTTGTTTGCTCATGTTGCGGATGTGTAATTTTCAAAACGTTGAGTCGGTTATAGACACACCATTGCTTTGTTTTAATAATATATATCTTCTACCTTTGGTTTTTAAAAATTTCCATTTATTCCTGAGACTAAGTCTGCATAATCGTTCAACTGAATATATATTTAAGTCATTATAGATGTTTTGTACGCAGAAGGCCTATATTAATTATTATGGCTTGTTTAATATCAGTGTTAAATATCTTGCAAAATATTTGTCTTTAATTCTTACAAACGAAATTTAATATTTCACAGTAGAAAGCTTCTCGAGACATCTAATGACGGCGCGACTGCAGGACCAGAGACTCTGATATTCTCTGCCAACTTTCCTTTAATCAGAAAAGTTTGAAATAATTTTGGACGTAAGTTTGGCTCTTCCAGGTTTGCACAGATATTAATTATGTAAGAAATGGAGTATGAAATTCTCTCTGGATGATGAGACCTTTGTTCCCGTAGGCTACATAATTCCTGTCAGTTGGTACTCACCGGTTTCAGAGCCTTTACGATGAAGAAGGTTTTTATCCCAGCCATACGTAGTGTCTCTTCACGTTTCTCACCCAGTGCAGCCTCCACTTCGAATTCTCCGTTGAGATAACTCAGTGTCTTCTCGGAGATGTGTACACGCCTGCATAGAAAACAGATAAAGGACCCTTCACACACGGCGTGGTTTCGGAAATAGTATGACCTATTTTCATTACAAAATACCGCCATCAGCTGTATGCCTGTACTAAATAATAAAGAAGCTACGATCGAAATGTGACTTCAGCTCAAAAGCGACTTCCAATTTAATAAGGAGATTGCTGTTTTCTGGGTTGTAGTGCCGTGGAGTCTGGCAGAAGTTTACCAACGTCTTCAGAGGTCCTTACTGCCTTCATCATCGGTACGATGAGGTTAGCAAGGACCTCTGAAACGATGGCAAAATTCTACCAGACTGTAACCCAGAATTCAGTCATCCTCGTACTCATCGCTATGAGAACCTCAAATCCTACTTGCAATGTAATATTTTAAATCTTTATGCCTGAAACTATCTCTGATCGTGAGCATCTTCTTCATGATGGCTATCATTGTTGTTTTTATCTTTTTATCTACTGTTATCATGTCCTCCTCCATTTCGCATATTCAAATGTACTGTTTTTAGTTTTGTGTGGTTTACTCTGTATTAATCGTCATTACTTATTTTACTCAGAATAACGCGTGGAAGTTCCAGTCCCTGAAATTTATCCAATTTATATTTCTGGACAGTCACCCATCAAAGTCTGCCGAATTATATTACATGGGAAGCCTTCTCTGATGAAAAATGTACACAATCTGTGCTAGAGAGAGGTAATCCAGCTACCCAGGTATTCGGCAGAAATGAGCGTTGTATCTTGCAGAGAAAAGTTAACTTTTTTCTTAAACAAACTCCGTTTATACTGTTTTCAACTTTGAGAACTTCTGAAAACCAATAAAATTCAGTCGCTTATATATCAGACATGGATGCGGAAACTTTTCCGTTGAATATAAGCAATCAAATACATAAGGCAATACGTGAAAGTTGGCTACCTCCACGCGCTGTAGAGCTTTTCGTATTGACCTATAGTGTGCAAGTCAACGTCTGGAGTTCCTTTATACAGTTCAGAAATTCTCACAGGAAATTCCAGTTATAATTTCATTGCAGTCCGGTTTTTTAACACTGCAACGACACGTTATTTGCACCTTTGCATTCAATTGATTTCAGGTTCTCAATGAGACGAGTATGAACATGACTGTCTTCTGGGTTGTATTTCGTGTAGTCGTCTGGTAAAAATTTACCGACGTTTCAGAGGTGCTTACTGTCTCCACCATTAGGGTCCTGATGATGGAGGCAGCAAGCACGTCTGAAACGTCGGTAAACATCTACAAGACTATACAGCGCAATCTCCCAGAAGACAACCACTCTCAGCGCCATGAGAACTTCAAATTTTACCTGCAGTTGTTTTATTTACTACGATATTTAACCAGATTGGATTAGTTCTTTTAAACACAATTGACCATGATTTAGTAACTGATATTAAGCCTTATGCAATTGGGGTCTTGACATCGTCGATAAGGGTTATCGTGGTTTTCTTCAGGAAAGTCCTGGCCACAGCCAGTTTCAATGAGATGCTTTACGTTCATTCTACCGTTCGGGGCAATGCGTCGTTAAAGACTGCTTACCCAGGCAGGCCACTGCTTTCCATCTTGTTCGCCAGTTCCACATCTTTGGAGTAGACGTCGAACTGCCATTGTCTTTGGCCCAGAACTCCTGCCAGCACGGCCCCCGTGTGTATCCCCACTCGCATGTCCACGGGGGAGTTCGTCTTCTGCTGCACGTATCTGCGAGAAGACGATAATGGGCTTACGAGTGACTGCTCTTAATGCCGCAGCGAACATGTATATTCATTAGTAGAATTCTTGTTACATGCAGCTAATGAAGGCGGCCACACTTATGTCACAGCACGGGGCTAAACCCAGATTAGAACACTGAAATTTGTCGTAGGGTTTACCTACGTGTTTCAAGACGTAAGACAGTTTATTTAGCTGCTCTGTCATTACCTCATGTTATATAGCGAAGAGTGATAGAATGATTAATTAATAATGAATTAGAGAAGATTTGGAAGGAAACGGTCGTACCCTAATTTAAGACGCTGTCCTGGAATCGCCTAGAGGGACTGAGACAGCCAATATCTCGATCGGGATTTAAACTAAAGACCTCCCAAACACGAAGCAGGAGTGCCAACTACCTGGCCACAACATTAGGTAAAAATATTTACAACATTCAGTTAATTATGAAATAAGGCGTGTTTAAGAAAAATTGCGAGTGTTTTTCTAAACGCCTTGCATATCGACACGGTTTCAGTGGTAATGAAAATAAAATCAGGGAAAAAAAATTAAAAAAATTTACAATATTATCAAAATACAAAAATGTTTTTAATTGTCAGACGTGGACTATTATAATTGTCCACTGGGTACTGTCGATTGGCCGTGAAGTAATTTATCACAAATTGAAATCCTACAAAAAAAAGGGTGTTTAATTTCATGTTTAAGTTTAGAAATCTGCGCAGCCATGTTTAAAGAATGGATTCGTTGAAGAGCCGAAATTCAAAACTTTGGCTGCTCAGCGCAGAGACTTGTATGGTCGGTGGTAAACAACAGTTATTTTGAATAGGTCTGCAGTTGATCTCCTCTTATACTATCACTAGAGAACAGTCATCAGAATTCTAACCAGGGTTTGGCCGGTTACACCATTTTAAATAGACGGCTAATTAGTGTGTGTTGTGATATTCTGCACCATGAAGCTTGAATGTCGAATAAAAAACTGCTTCAGCGTTCAGGAGGCACGTGGAAGTTTTTCCCACCCAGTGGTTAATTCTAGCTGCAGGACGAAATAAAAGGACTTAAAATGTCTAAAGAGATTCAGTGGCTTTCAGAATACATGCATTTATTCAGCTGTAATTTGTTTGGTTCTTTTTCCATATGATAAACATGAAAGAAGAATTACGTACTGCATTAATTTCTGACGCTTTTAAATTAACTAATTTATTCTTAGCTTGGCAGCTTCGCTAAGCCCGTACGAGTAAAATCGACTAGTAGTTGTTTGGTAACGAAGTGGCCGATGGCCGTAAAACTGAATTTGTTTCTGTCATCTCTTTTGAATCTCTTATACCGAGAAGCTTTTATTACAGCCACGATTCTTTCGGAAGTTGATAAAGTGAGCGCAAAAGCACACACACATATACAGTTTTATGCAGAGAGACTGGGCGAATAAGAAACGCATATTGAGATACAAAACAGGAAAACGAAACTGTGATATGAAAATGGTGTGATCAAAGTAATAAAACCTAACGTTTTAGATATATAGACCTACATAATTGGAAGAATGTATTTACCAGTATTAGCAGAAGGTTATTTATATAGACTAGTATATGAAAATGAGCTTATATTCCCGTTCTTTCTACAGATTGAACACCAAAATTTTTGTAAATATCGGCCAGTTTTCTTCCGTCCTGTATCTGCCTTGTGATTACTAAACATCCTCATGTGCTGTAAAGCATAATCAGTCTCATTCTATACAGATGTTCTGTCGCTACACAACTATGTATGATTTAATGCATAAGGCGATCTTTTTCATGTTTACAAGACCTGTTAACTTGCAGCGCTTGTGGGATTAATAACAGACAGGAAATGTGACGACATGTCCATTTGTTAAATTTAACCAGTCATTTGTTTTGGGGCAACGCGAATGTACATTTTCGTAAGAAATGTTAGTGTGTGGTTATAGTGTATTTTACTAAGAAACTGGCGAAGAAGGACTATTTAGCTGTTCTTACATAAATACGTTTTAGGATAATCTGTGATTTTAGTGGTTTCTTGCGATTTTGATAGTTTCAATCGATCTACAGTAATGTTGTAATACACGCTTAATTAACGAAATACAGGAAAGCTTTTTTACACGGTAATACAGGAAGCTTACTTAATTATTTTGAATGAGTTACATGTAAATAATTGTAGCTTCGTTAATTCTGACTTCAAGTCTGTGTAGAATATTAGTCGTAGCGTTTAAAATGTTTGAAAACGATAAACTCTATTTAAAAACAAACCGTTGAAGAGACGATATTTGATCAGTACTTTATACGAATAGTGACCAGCGTTTAATCAGGGCACTGAAGCACACAGCTTGTATTTGGAAAAGGGGGGGGGGCACTGAAGCTCGACCATTATTACGTTCTAAATCCTGAAACCGCTGGCCGCATCAGCTTGGCTTTGATCCCTAATCTGTTGTAACAGGCAGAATTCTGTGGCAGAGGCTTGCTTTAAGGTTCGTTGTGCGTCCACATACCGCAGGTGTGGTCCAGACTCTACATCCATTACACAGGAATGGTGACAGAAATAGTTTCACTTGTAAGAAGATAATTCAGAGGATTCTCATTTGTTGCAAAATTTTGGGATGTAATTTATAAAATAAATGCATTTTGACGGAGCTGAGTCCGTCAGTCTGCGTATCCTAATACTTATTCTCCGAAGCCACTAAACTAATTTAATTTAAGTTTGATGCTGGGAGATATAAAAGCAGACCGGAAGTTGTCCGGATAACGTAATTTTGTTTGTAAGAGTCCAATATGTCTCGTGCCTTCCGGCAAAAAATGTAACAGTGGAAAGTTAGTAATGACAACAAAAGAGTGAAAGCAAAGGGGCATACGGGGAAGAATTGAGAAACACTTTGTTTCCAGAGGTGGAAAATGTATTATTGTTAGAAGGTTCCCAGGCAGTGCTCGCTCGTCCTTTTGGTAAGAATAGAATTATGGTGAATACGTTAGGGTGATAGCCCTCCCGATTTAAATTAACCAAAATTAACTCGTTGCTGTGAAGGTCTCCAAATTCCTTGCATTTCGAATTATGATTACAGTGTTTAGAATAAAATCAGATTTTCCCTATCTTTCCAAATCTAAGCTCGTCTAAATGATAATTAACAATTCAAAAGGAAACATAACTCCTCTCCATTACAGAGATCGGTGGTAAATGCTGTTCAAGGAAATTATTACAGCAGGTAGTGCATGTAGTTTCCATTGGGCTTTAAAGTGTTAATTTCTCAAAAACGGCTTTCAGCACAAAAGTGGCATGTGACTTTTAACATACAAAGTGCCAGTATTGCCCATAACATTTTTAAACGATATTATATATATACCGACTTTTTAAAGATAAAATCATTTTTCTAATGAGATACGGTGATTGCTGTAGTGTGGTAACGTTTCAGCCATAGGCAAAGAAATCTCTTGCAATAATTAAACGTGTGAGATCACACAGATGCCCAGAGGAGAATAACTCATTTCCGAGATTTCAGTTCTGAAGATGGAAACGGTATGTTCCTCCGAAACGTTGGAATCTACATCAGACCTCATTTCATTCAGCCACTATGTTGGCTTCATAACTTACATTTTCAATAGTAGGTTCTCTTCTCTCAGTAACCAATCGAATTTTACAAACAAAAACAGCCTGAACATTAATGTTTTGTAGTTTAACAGTTATATTTTGATCGTTTAATATTTTGAACTTTGGAAACAATAATAAAAAATAAAAGATTCGTAATGGAACTAGGTCCACAGCCATTCTTTCGCGAATTATTCTCTAGATTGTATTATGAAACATTAGCCTACTATACATGCCAATGTATGTGACTGTTAAATATTTAACTAACAAAAACAATGGATGTTGTAATGCCAGGAGAATACATTTCACGTGACAAAATTATGCAGTTCTAAATGCATTTCAATACATTCCTGAAATACTTTATTTTATTCTTTTTAAACTTCGTTCCGATACATTGTAGACTAAACACTGAAAATTAATGGTAGGCTCTTAAGAGTGTGATATAAATTACACGGTTATACGATGGGATTATGAGAATATGACTCTAAACGTGAATTGCCCCATAAAGTACTAGATTAGGAACGTAAATCTCTGTGATTGAATGAAAACGTCTGAATATAATCTTCATACACTTCATAACTTACCTTTAAGACCCATGTTTTGCGTAAATGCCCTTTAGAATTTAATACTGACTGACTATAGGAGAGATTTTTACATTTCCCTTCGAAAAAATCCTTTAGGAGCAGTTCGTGCCTGCCTGTACTTTTTTGTTGCTTTGAAACTGCCTTACGTCGACCGCAATTTGCCGCTGGTTACATGACTCACATCGCCTCATATTGGCCCAGAGTTCAGCCTTTACAATACGATCCTATCAGAATGTTGAGCAGAAACATGCCCAATAATTCTCACGAAGTTCGCGGCACGTAATGTTCAGTTGAGTAATTACTTTATAAAATATTATCCAACGTAATGTAAACTTTTATCTTCCTCTCTGTTTGGTATCGATCCTTCAGGCGACCTCCAATTTTACCGACACACACATACTTATTATAAAATGTATTAAAATTGCATATGTAATTAAGTGCAATTAGTCCATTGTACTATTATACTCCCACGTACGTCTGGGTCTTCCTAGTGATCTCTTTCCTTCTGGATTTCCCACCAGAACCATGTATGATTTCCTCTTCTGTCCTATGCAGGCTACATGTAATGCCCATCTAATCGTCCTTGACTTGATCTGTCTAATTATATTTGGTGATGAGTACAATTAGTCCTATGCATCATAATTAAAGTAACACGTGCATATCATCGTTATAACACATCCACCACATTGGATTTGTCATTTCGTCACGGATTGCCATCATCTGAATAAACGGATGTATTGAAAATATTTTGTTTTACTAAATCAGCTTGCGTAAGGAGACGCCATTAATCATAAGTAATTACCTGTAACTAACTGTTTGTAGCTA